AGGAGATTAGAAGCATGATCAAGGTTATGTCATTAAAAAAAAATGTATACGAAAGCTGAAATTGAAGCCAGGTTTATCTAGTTAAACCACTGCATCTTCAAGCCATTCAGCCATTTGTTTGACTGCTTCCAAGCCCAAAGCAAACAAAATATTGCTTCAGTCAGAAGGGAGTTAAAAGATTTCCCAAATGAAAGCCGTGCTGCGGCACAGTCAACTTTGCTTGAACATAAGTCGGGGCCTGTTTTAAGCACTCCTCCAGTGCTTTCCTTCAAATAAAATCCTGCAACCAATGGTCTCATCTCATCCATTCTCTCCCAACTCATTTTACTCCGGCCAGATTAGTCTTTGGACATTTCTTTGAACATAATAAGCTCTTGTCCACAAGGGCTTGGCACCTCTGGATCTTTGTTTTTCCCCACTCTACCTGGCCACCTCATTCTCTGCATCCCTCAGACTTACCTTTAATGTTCCTTTTTTTAAGGGACCCACCCTAACTGCCTCATCAAAGTAAGCTCTTCCCCTCATACTCTCTCTGCTTTCAGTTTTCTTCCTTTAAGCATTTATCCTGCTGTCTGATGAAAGTGCTCTCTTACTTGCTTGTTTTCTTCCCACAGTACTGCACACACCTTCCAGGGATATAAGCTCCATGAAACAAGAATCATATCACCCTTCTTATATCACAAGACCTAGCACAGAGCAGTCATTCAATGATTTGTTTAATCAAGGAAAGGGGAAAATGGGAGAAAGCAAAAGAAAAAGGGAGAAATGAGTGAAGGGTGGGGTGGGGTATTTGGAAATGCATGTGGCCTGAAATGGTTTGTTGTAAGCATTTAAAAAGAGATAATGATGAAGAAAAAGAAAAAAAAAAAAGAAAAAGAAAACCACTTCTAATTGTACCCAGCATCTAGTAATTCAATGATTCATAACTCTTTTCTGTGAAAAAATGTATCTTTAATACCCCAATGACCCTGATTTGATTAATTCACATTGTATGCCTATGTCAAAACTTCACATGTGCCCTATAAAGATTCTACAACTATTATGTGCCCATAATAATTAAAAATTAAAAAATATATATGTTTTACCCAGAAGGGTTAAGCAAACCAGGAATCCAGGAAAGCAATCTCCCATTCTGACCAAAAGTTGCTCCATCAGAGTTGAAGAAAAGTAGTTCACATAGAAACTTCATACCTGTTTTTAAGTCTTCTCTGCCTCACAGCCTCTCCCAGCCCGAACCCCACATTTTTAATCAAAGCAGAAAACCTGTTTCCTTCCAATCTTCCCTATTGTTCTCTTTTTCTAAATCGCCTGCAAACTGTCTCCTGCTGGCCTAGGAACAGCTGAGCAGCAGCTGAGCAGCCCATGGGAAACTCCTCCAATAGTCAGGACTGGACACATGAAAGTCACAATAAAGGAGGACAAAACAGGATTCCGGCAACTAGATGTCCCAAAGTAGTGGCAATGGCCTTAGACAAGTCACTTGTTAGTGTGATGGCTCAGACTGCCAACAATGTCTAGCTTTGTCACTTACTAGCTGTATAACTTTAGGTAAGTCATTAGCCACTTTGTTCCTGAGCTCCCTGGTCCGTAAAAAAGGAACAATAACTCCGCTCCTAGGGTTATTGTGAGGATTGAATAAAGTCATCGTAAAGAACTTACACTGGGAGAGTAAACACAATGAATTTGAGGTATGATTATTTCCTGTGTGTGTGTTTGTGCGTATAAAATGTCATTAGCTGATGAAGATCTTGTCTAGAGTGAGCAAATAATTGTTTAATGAGTTAGCTTATTAATTAAGTTAAACATTTGGGGGTTTAAGTCTTGTCTGAGAAAGCTTGTTTTCTTGAATTTTCTATGTCTTTTTTTTTTTTCTTAAGGTTAAATCACAGCATTGTGAAGGGAGCATGGAAAACAAAGTTACCAAATCCTGCAAGAGAAAATTCTTGATCCCTGAAATCCTGCATAAACCCTCAGAACTTGCTCCAGTGCAACCTTTGTCAGGTGGGACATGACTGTACAAGACGGAGAGACAGGAAAACCCAGGGAGGAAAATGAGATGAGAGCAACACTTGTGGGAAACAGGTCTAGGAAAGGTCGGGTAAAAGAAAAAAAAAGTCTGGAAAAACTGGAAAGTATTCAGAAAAATAAATAGGACTAGGATCACTAACATTAATCAATCACTTCCCATGTGCCAGGCACTATTTCAAGTGCTTTATATGCATTAAATTCATGTAATGCTTTCATCTACCACAGGAAATGGGTGTCTTTGTAATCCCCATTGTATACACAAGGAAACCGAGGCACAGAGAGTAATGCAGTTGGCCCAAGAATCACATAACTTTAAAGCAGCTCTTCATTTAAAGGCTCAATAAAGCGGATAGGTTGGCAGACGTGGGATTCACTTAGAATTGGAAAGGAGAATAGGAGGGTAGGGATGGGAACCCGAGTTCATGTGAATTTATAACAATGTCTGAGGCTTTAAATTCCAAAAGCTTTTGTATCATTTTAGAAAGTATCTCTTAAACTCTGATCTCTCTTTAATCTACTCCAACAAAGAAATAATCAGACTATACTAGAAAATAAGTCATAGGAAGATATGCATCAATGAATTCTTTTGTTTGAGTGAAAGGCAGCCTCAGGCTTAAGAGTATGTAGCTTTTCTACCACAGTTGTAATAATTTTTTGTTACTCAACCCTGCTGGTATCTTCCCTTTGCCTTGCCCCAAATGACCGATAGACTGCTAGCAATAATAGAGAAGAATTTTAGGAAGAAAGAAAGAATACAGGAGTTTAGGGTCTGGTCACAAAAGGTAATTTCTCAGACATTGTAAAATCCTTGCTTCCTTGGTTTGCAACCAGGAAATGTACTTAATAACCATCATTTTTCTAACTCCTCTTACAAGTGAAAATCCAATACAATTCTTCAGTGGGAGAAACACACACACACACACACACACACACACACACACACACAGCAAAGGCATTTGAAAAAGCTCATCCATTTAGATTTAATTACATACATAACTGGTGTCCTACCAAGTGTGAAAATGTTGTAACCAATAAATCAAACAAAAAAATGCTATTTAAGCAGAACCAATTTATATAGAAGATGCATGAGAAATCAAAATTTACTGACTTGCATTGGGTATTTTTTACCCAGTGAAGTTCTTAAACAGAACTTGCTCTTTGAATCTTGCTTTCTTCTGTACACTTACGTAGTTCAGTCACTTTCCCTAGAGGGTGTTCTTGTGCAAGGACTTAGAAGAGAAAAGGGGGATTCAATCTTAAAATCATCTCTGTGTTAAGGGACCACTGGATCTTTGCTTATATGTTAGATTTTGAGGGCCATCTAATTTGTCTAGTACTGTTACTTACATGCTTAATTAATCATTACTAAGTGAAGCTTAATTCAGAAAGATTATTTCACATTAGAGCTTCCTTGAAATACAAGGAAGACTTGCAAACTGCTGCAAAACCAAAGGGGTTGGGGGAGAGGGACATCCAGACTCCCAAAATATCTTCCCAGGTAGTGTCATAAAAATACATTCCTTTTAATAATAGTAATGGGATACTCTAAGCACTGCCAGCAATTTTGAGCTTCAGGAAATGTATTTTCAAATGTACCTACTTTGAATTGAAATTTCTCATGAATGATAAACCTGGAATAAGAAAGTGAGGGAGACTGGAGTCTTGGGATCTTTTGGGCGTACCTTTGCCAAATGCAAATTGTATGAGGGTATGGATTCACCACATTTTTCATGTTCCCATTTATAATGAAATTATATGGAAAACATTTTCCCCTTCAATAAAATCTTGTGGAAATAATACCTCAATACACTTCATAGCTGCTGGTCAACCGTGTTAAAGGAACAATCTGATCTCTGCTGACACTTTCCTAAGGAAAAGAGCCAATGAGCTGAACAACTTCCTCATGCGTGTATGAAAATGCAACAGATTTAGGATTGCAAAACCATTCATGGTTAAATATAAGGAAATAAATATAAAAGACTAGGAACTTTTTACTTTGTCAGTAAATTATAAGGCTCTTTGTTTTTCATTGATGTATAATTCGGAAAGCAAAATGGCTTTCCCCTGAGTTGTTGCAATAGTTAATTTCTGACTTACTTTCTAAATCACACCATAAAGATCATTGTAAGTGATAAAATTGGTTAGACTGTGTTTTGCTTGTTTATTTTGTCTGTTTCACAGTTCTGGGCTCTGACAGGGAAGCAGGCATTTAGACGGGAACAGTATGAAACAGGCAGAGTTCAGAGATAGTCTCAGAATGACTCAAGCAGAATTCACGTCCTCTTTCTCCCTAGCTGCAGATTGTGAAGCCTGGACCTGGCTCCTGCTCTCGTTTCTCTAAATATTTATCAGTTAACAATTACACATCTGTCCCAGTGGCAACAAACTTGGCCCAAGAAATAAATAAGCATGCTTTCTTTCCCCAAATATGCAAAATAATGCACATCCACTTGAAGATTTTTGAAACAGGAGCTTTTGCATCTAATTATCAGACTTAAGTCCTCTTGTGTAAACACTCATTTATTAAGCATATGGAAAAGTGATTCTATTTCAGTATGCTGTGTTTCTCCTTTTGTGTTTTCTATAATTGCCACTTGTCTGGCTCTTTCGAGTAAGTTTTTCCAGTGAGTATCTGCTTCTCTTATCATTTGTGCCGATCATACTGAAGTTAATAGAACTGCTTAGTAAAGTCCACTGATTCCTGGAACAAGAACCATTCACACAGAAGAGAATTCCTTTCACTTGCAAATCTTTTAAGAAATAAATTTATGAAAGACTGTCTGATGTGATTTAAAGTTCACTATTTGATCAGAACACTAAACCCAGACCTGTATTTTGCAAGCCTTTTATTTTTATTTTTACATTCGCAAAGTACACTTTACACAAGTTTACTTAAACTGACCTTTCATGCTTTAAATGAATGTAGTTTTTACAAACCCCGAGTCAAAGCAGCAAATACAAATTGTACTTACCTTAGTATATTGAATCTTCAAATTGGTGAGTGGAACAGGTAAGTCTGGCATGCCTGAGGACGACATTTCTGGTTCAGCTCCTGGAATACAGGTGACAGACAATTTGGTTCTGATAGAGCACTTGGCTTTATTTGTTCCTTTTTATCTGCAAGGGCTAAACTTTATTTGCATACTGGGATATGATTGGATGAACAAACTCAGAGCAAAAAAAGAAAACGACACTACTTATCTGTAACACCTAGAGCAGGAAGCCTTTGACTTTAAACTTAAATCCTTAAGAAACCAGCTCTCCAGCGTTTAAGTTGCATCTGGAGACACTGCACTATTTGCAGATGAATTAATTTACAAAGCCGAAACCTGTGATGAGAGTGTGCAGCGCAGCTGCTCTGGCCACTAAGTCCAGTTATTATATTTTTGACTTTTCATGCTTTGTATGCTACTATGTAACTTTCTGTTCTCTGAAGGACTTAAGAGAATTTGAGGATTGAAAAAGTCTCAAAGGGCACTTGTTCTCAGTAGAAGCTGATGAGGAGAGAACCCTGGCCAGGTGTCTTCAGGACAAGGCTGTCAGGAAAACAGTCCATCCTCCAGAAAAGTCAGAGTGCTGTTTGGGAAAGAAAGGCTGTCTCTATCTAGGCTCTAACCTGGGTTAGCTTTAAAATACCGGATCAAGAGTATTTTGAGTGCTAGGTAAGTAGACCTACTGTGATTTCAGAAGCCCTAAATTATTTTTATTTTCTATATGAGAACAGAGAAGTCAGCAGGACCTTTAGGGAACTCAGAGTTTACTGTCACACACAGTCACCTCAATTACAATAGGGCGATATCACGTTAAGACTCATTCAAAATGAAAATAACCTTTGATTTTGGAAGTTATCTGTACTTATCACTATAGGCAGTTGTACAAAGAATAAATTGAAGCAGGACTCCCAAATAGTTCAAATTCTTAAATTAATGTTTCAAGCTGGGAACATTCAAACTAGACAATTTTTAATTGTACTACTTTCATTTGAAGTACAATACTTCATTGTAATGTAGCCCTAGCAAAAGTTACAGTAGGAACAAGATAGAATACTTTGGATGCTCTGATTATTAAGAACTAACAACAATTTTGTTCCAGTGAAAATGGCCAGCTCCCCTAGATAGAGAAAATAAGAATTGTTGGATCGTGTGTCCAAATCAGGTGCAGAAGCCTTAGTTTCTCTCTCTTTACTTTCATTATATATTTCATAGACATAGAGAGGGTGATTGGCTTGCCTATGGTCACAGATCTAGTTAGTGCAAGGCCAGAAATTCACTCCAGGCCAGTCTGACTCCAAAACCTGGACTCTTATTCCTGTTGACTCTCTCTGCCCTGTTCTCCACAAGAGGATTCCTGAATGGGTTCAAGAATCAACTGCTTCTGTAAGTGCGTAGCCATCCTGACAAGCACTTAAGCACAACTTTTTATTCACCTAAGACAGGGGTTGGCAAACTTTTTCTGCAAAGGAATAGACAATAAATATTTTTACCTTCCTGAGCCAGGTGGATTTTGTTGTAATTTACTCAACTCCACTTAGAAAAAACTATAGGCAACAGTTAAATTAATGGGTGTAGGTGTTTTCCAAAGAAAATTCATTTATAAAAACAAGAGGCAGGCCAGGGCTGGGCATGGTGGCTCACTCCTGTAATCCTAGTACTCTGGGAGGCCGAGGCGGACAGATCATTTGAGCTCAGGAGTTTGAGACCAGCCTGAGTAAGAGCGAGACCCCGTCTCTACCAAAAATAGAAAAAATTAGCCGGGCGTGGTGGTGCATGCCTGTAATCCCAGCTACTCAAGAGGCTGAGGCAGAAGGATTGCTTGAGCCCAGGAGTTTGAGGTTGCTGTGAGCTAGGCTTATGCCATGGCACTCTAGCCCGGGCAACATAGTGAGACTGTCTCAAAAAAAAAAAAAAAAAAAAGAGGCAGGCCAAATTTGGAGCATGGGCCAACCCCCTAAAATGCTAAGGCAATACCACCCCCAGCGTCCTTGACTCCCCTCACCTTGCGCTTGAGGACCAGGGAGAAACCTCTGTCTGTGTTCCTTCAACATTTCTCTTTCTCTTTCTCAATTCCTTTCTTTTTAGAGAATCATTCTTTGCTCTTTTAAAAATGTGTTTTGAGTTAAATGCGCAATTACACAACAGCTGTTACATAACTTGCGGAATGGGGCTCTGGCCATGCCCAGACAGCTGTGTTTTGCTGCTTTTTTGTGCTCTCAATTTTACAGTTGTTTGTGGGTTCAGACACTGGTTTATTTGATTCCAGATAGTGAAAGCTCAAGGCTTCGTGACACACTTGCCATGTCATCTCAGTCCTTACATGTTCAGCTTTCATTGTATTTTATTGTGTAATTATGTAAGAACAGTCCATTTATACCAGTCATTACTGAATTTAGGCAAAGGAGCAGCTTTAGAAATAGGTGACCGCACCTGCCCATTTAATTCAATAAATATTTACTAAGTAGCATTTATGCATCGGTAATTCTACCACCTAATCTCCCTTGAAGAGCAGATCTTTTCTACCCAGAAACCATAGGAGCTGAGATTTACATTTTTAAGGTAAGCATCACCCTTCCCTGAGAACTTTTCTTATACAATAGGATATTACTGGGAATGGTTACATGGGTGCAAGGCTTTAGCAGACCACTTCCCTCATTTACAGAGGGAACCATGGCTTTGGTGAGAACATGGGGGCCAAGGAGACATGCATCAGGACTGGACCCAGGGTCGTGTCTTTTTATTGCTTTCGAGGATTATGAAGCAGAAGAGAGGCTGATACTTTACCTTGAGGGTAGTTAAAGGTAGAAGGTAATTAAAGATGTTTAATTTTCTTCCCTTCTTAGGGACATGCTAAATTACACACACACACACACACACACACACGAACACACACAGATAAGAAATATAAGAGAACAATTTATTCACTTCTTGAATATGACTTCTTCCAGGCCTTTGTGAAAGCTGGCGTTATACCAAGAAACTTATAGACTATGACTTCAACCGTTATTGAAACTACGCGCTCATTTTCCAACAAGCCTCTCCAGACTTCCATTGAAGTCTCAGTTCTGAAAGACAAAAAGAGTCTAACCTTCCACCCATATGAGTAATTAAAATTAAAAAAAAAATAAAATTTGTTAACGGAAGTTAATTGTATGGTGAAATGGAAATAGCTGCAATGGGCTCAATGTTTTTGTCCCCTCAAGATGCGCATGTTCCAACCCTGCCCCCCAGTGTGATGCTGTTAGTGGGTGGGGTTTGGGGAGGGAATTTGCTCAAAAGGATGGAGCCCTCAGGAATGGAATTAGTGCCCTTGTGAAAGAGACCCCAGGGAGGTCTCTTGCTGTCTTCCTCCATGTGAGGAGATAAGAAGAAGTCACCAATCTGTGACGCCAAAGAGGTCTCTCACCAGAATCTGTCCACACTGGAACCCTGATCTCAAACTCCCAGTCTCTAGAACTGTAAGAAATAAATAGCTGTTGTTTATTTGCCCCCAGTCTATGGTATTTTTTTTTTTATGGCAGTCTTAATGAACTTAGGCCACTTCTTTTTATATTTCCTGATTTCAGAATCCTAGATCCATTTATGGAAGCTAAACTTGTCCTGTTCCAATCAGGACAGCCCTCCCTGACCATCTACTCTTGCCTTCAGCGTGGCTGGATGAGTCTGCCTGTTGGCAAACCCAGCCATGGGTCTGTCTCTATGCTTTGGATCACTGCAATTTTATCAGATACCGAGTCACTCTTATGCCTATTTGGGTTTCAATAATTTGGAAAAAGTGGATCTTATATGTGGTTAGAGAATCTGTGCTTGGCTGGCACGTTGGCGTTCAAAATGGAAATGGAAGGAAGAATTTGAGTGTGTGAACATGCGTGTCTGTGTGCTAATTTCTGTTCATCTGCCATTCTTCTCCCATCAGCAAAATTTCCTCACCTCTGATTTCTCCTGCTCCTCATATGTCCTTGCATTGTTTTTCTCTGTCTTGTTTTACTGAGATATGGTAGATGCCCCTCTTATGTGACACAATCAGAAACACTGACTGGTAAGGTCACTAAAAGATTAAAAGCCTCTGTAAGATAATTATTTTAAACAGATTTTTGCTAAATCTATGGGTCAAGGCCATTTCTTGAAACTGGGTCTGCTATTTGAAATGTGAAATAATCTTGCATAAATAGCACTGACATCGTGTCGTTTAGAACTGCAGTCCCCAACCCAGGGGCTGTGGCATGGTCCATGTCTCTGGCCTGTTAGGAAACCAGCTGCTCATCACAACCTGAGCTCCTCACTACCACCTCTCCACCCCGCTAAACCCTAACCCCTCCACCCTGGTCTATGGAAAATTGTCTTCCATGCGACTGGTCGTTAATGCCAAAAATGTTGGAGGCCACTGGTCTACATTTTTCAGTTTATTTCCTTAAAGTAGAGAAAGAAATTTAAGACACTAAAGATATCAGTGAGGAAATCTAAATGTAGACTACTTTCAGATTGCCACATTTTTTTTCCATTTTTTTTTTACTATTATACTCAGATCATTCAACAATGTGTTTAGTAACTTGACATATTGAGTGTTTGCAAAATATTCAGTTTAGCTTTCATAGAAATAACTCTCTTTCCCCCAATCAAGAATTTAAATAACATTTAATTCAATTTTATAATTGAAATAATAGGTTCAAGTGAATAATCAAGTTTTAGGTAGGGCAAAGAGATCTCACAATTGGTAAGCAGAATAGATTGTTTCTTAATTTGAGTATTCATAGACATGAGTGTCAGCACTAACATTTTTTGCAGTTTAAATATTTTTTTTCAAACTTTTAAAAAGTTTGTATAAAAAACTACACAGATCATAAGTGTACATCTTAATAAATAGTCATAAAATAAACAAAACAAAATAACCATCACGTGAATCAAGACATACAGTGATATCAGTACTCCATAGCCTACTTTCTATACTCTTCTGATCACCATCTCTTTCTCTCTCTCAAACTACCAGGATCCTAACTCCTAATGTTTGACGTTCTTTTTTACTGATTTTTGAACTTGATATAAGCAAATTATACAGTCAGAATATTTTTACAAAGGAAATTCAAAGGTGCAAGTTAATTTATCAAGTTAATTAAACAACGGTTATAGGAAAGAATGTTTCTCAGGGGATACTTCTCACCCCAGTATCTCAGATGGATGATTTACTACCACTGAATAAATATAAAATAACAAATATAAAATAAGCAGCAATAATATAATAAGTTAGTATTTAATATGTTAGCATTTTTATCAGTGAGGATCACTTTTTCATCCTAATTACAATTCATATAAGAGTGCAGAGAAGTGGCCATTTTCCTACACCATCTTTTGGTGGGTAATAATAGCACTTGGAAGATTG